TCTGTCCCCCAGAAGTAAATACATCTTCTGTGGAAGAAGATACTACCCTAGACCTCAATTATTACTGTAATTTTTCATATACAATATCTAACATTCAATCAAAAATAACCAGGTACATGAGGAAACAGAACAGCACAATTGAAAATCAAGGGAAATCAAGATAGCAATAGAACCATAGGGGATGGAATTACCTGATACAGATTTTAAGATAATTATGCTTAATATGTTTAAAGAAATGAAACTGGTATATCCAGCAGAGACTGGAAGTCTATATATATATTTTAAAGACATAAAAATTCTAGTACTGAAAAATGCAACAACAAATAGCAGATAATGCATGTTAAGCACTTAGCTCAAAGCTTGGCACACAGTAAAAGCTTAATAAAAGATTATCTACTAAATTATTACATCCAAACTATACACTGAGTGTTTGAGGAAAAACACACAACCCCATATATACACACACTACATAAGGCAACTTAAGACTAAATCTTTATCCCCTCCAAAAACAAAAAAACAAAACCACCACCACCACCCAGAATTTGTTTTCCCTAAAATATTATAAAAATTCAACACATAGAAAAACCTAACACTCTTACACAAATATCCAATTCTATCAAATCCAAACATTATGCCACAAAAGCTTCATGTTAAGAAAGGAGACAATATAGACACAAAGGAAGTGTTCTATATGTTTACCTGACACTGGATTGCTTCTACCCAATAAGGGTTAAAACTCTTGGGGCATTTGCAACAGAGTTGTTTGAAATAAACCTAAAGAGGAATTTGCCGTTTTTAAAATCCAAGTTTATATGTACCCTAGGCTCCCAATTTTTAAGTAACCCATTTCCTTCGCTTGTACCACCAATACAAGAGGTTTCTGGGCTTTGTGCATTTCCTTGTGCACACTTCCTCCCTACCTTACTTGGTGAACTATTCATCCTTTAAAATCCTGCTCAGACATCACAGTGCCTTCTCCCTGACAAGGTTACTCATCCCCTCCTATGTTATTTCTGTACCACATCCATGCCATAGGTACCAATGCATTGTCACCAAAGCACATTGTGTCTACATCATTGCTATCAGTAAAAATGTCTTGAGGATGAGTTCTATGTCTTGTTCTTTGTATCCTGGTATCTTGGAGTGTTTTAATTAAACCCACTGTTTTTCTTCTGGCAATAAAAGAAAAGTACTTTTAGTTTAGTTTAAAAATCTACTTACCTTTAGGTATAGTAAATGGCTAGTGTGAAAAGTCATGTTTTCATTCAGGCCTTAGTACGCCTCTCCCTCTATGGTTAGGGACTGCAACTCAAATACTAGTAGAAGTTGATGAAATAGACCAGGTGTAGACTGTTACAAAATGAAGGGAAAGGAGAAAGAAGTCGCCAACCTTGGAAACCCAGCGTGGCCCTCGGTGGAGGATGACCCTTTTCTGGCCGCTGCTCCCTGTGGAGTGGACGGACTGACATGTGAAGCCAGTGGGCTTCAGTTCTAGTCCTGTGATGCTCTGTAGCAGGTTCAAGACCTTTGAGCCTGTATCCCTCAAGGAGAGCAGCTGCTCAGGATGAGAGGGCCCAGTGAGTGCTGCACAGACCTGAGCACATATAGGCTCACCTGCATGCCCACCTCCTTGGTACTGGCCTTGCACAGCCCCAGGCCCAAGCTGGGGTTCATCTGGAAGAGAATGGCAATAAGCTGTGCCCTTCTGTAAAGGTTAGTGAAGTAGGCCCAAGAGCTAATGGGCACCACCAGCTCCATCCCGGCCAGGGGAGTGGGGTACTAGTGATTTGCCTCCAGTAGGGTTGTTGGTAGTCAGAGAGTCCAGGCTGGCCCAAAGGCAGTGTGCTCCGATAATGTGTTTCTTGGTACAATCCCTGGGAAACACAGAAAAAGCATTCCATCCAATGGCCAACCTTAGCACAATATCCTGGTAAGTGTGTCTTTGTTCTGCCTTCCAACTTCATCCACCCCTTCTTTCTCCTGGTCAAGTTGGTTCAGGTTCATCCCTACTTTTTCCACTTATTTCAGATTTTGGTAGGAGCTGCTGCCTATTACCCTAATTGAAGGGGGGGCTGGTGAGACAGGCCAGTAAGCCAGGACAAGTGAAATAGGGAAACTGAGACAGATAGCTGAACAAAATGACAGAGCAATTTACAGCAGATAAAGGTCACCTCCCTAGAAATAACATCTAGGCCTCAGTCGTATTTCAGCTCAACCCAGAAAAGCAGCAAAACCAGGTGGGCAATACCAGGATCAGCTGTGATGACTGATGACCCACGACCCTAAAGGAGCATACCTAGAAAACTGATGACTATTCTGTTGAAACCCTCCCCCTGAGACCTCCCCTAAGAGTTCTGCCTGCAAGAGAGAAATAAAAGCCTCAAGACAAAGGACCCAGTGTGTGCTCTCCCTCCGGGGAGCACACCCTGCCTCTGCCATTCCCTTTCCCCTCTTCTTCCTGCACAGATGTACATCTCCTAAACTCTAAAGGACCCCACGAAACTTGCAACCAGGGCAGCAAATGGGCAGATGCAGCTCTTTACAGGCTAGTCCCTTGAACCTGTTCCCAAGGTCTCCTTTTCTCTGACTTCCCAGAGAGTCAGGGCAGCCCAGCCTAGGCTCTCCTATTGCTTCTTCTATGCTAAGCCCTTTCTTGTTTTAATGTCCTCAGCTTTAATAAATGTTCCCTCATAATCACCTGGACTCGTGAAATTTTTCTTGCACGAAGAGAAGAACCCACACACTACCGGCTGGCCCTAGGCAGACCTTCCAAGGACCAGGTCCCCTTTCAGGTAACAGTGGGAGGAGAGCTACCTACCTACAGAAGCCTAATTGCCAACTGATTCAAATTGTTCTTCCCTATGTTTTCAATTCACTGCTAATGAACCTCTTTTCAAAGCTGTTTTTCCTTGCTGACTTACATGCATGCTATAGTTAGCCATTCTTTTATTCCCACAATAACATACTGTTTTAGAGATCCTGTTTTAAAGCATGTAGTGAAACAATACAAGGAGTAAATTATTTGAGCAGCCTTATACTAGAAGAGCATAAGGAAGAAAGTACATTATTATGGCAGGGTTAATGAAAGTAAATACCAGAGGGCTGGGGAGCATAAAGTTATGGAGGAGGAGGAGGGGTGTATACAGTGAGAGAAAATATATTTCAGAGGGTTGTATGACATGTCAAAGGTTCTCAGTCCACTCTTAGTGAGGACCCCCCGCTCCTCCCCCACCGAAAAAAGGTGAGGGGAAGCAAATTGTTCTGATTTAGAGAGTAAATGCAGATTTAATAGCAGCATAGTTTAGCACCTGAGGTAAAACCCATTTGAATTTAAACCTGGGCCTTGTTAGCAGGCAAGTTACTTAACTGATTGTTTCCCCATCTGACAATACCTGTACTAACCAATTTGTAGCATTATTGTAAGATTAAATGTGAAGCACAAACCAGACTCACAAGTTCAGTAAGCGGCAGCTATTGTTAGATAAGGATCCCAGGCCTGTGTACCTTTGCTGCACAGACCTAGGTGATCATAAGCTTTGGTATCTCTGTATTCGTCAGGCTCCCTGCTACAGCTGAGGGTTATGGTCAAACTGAAATGACACCTAGGGAACCAAGCAGAGCCCACCCTTTTTCTAACGCAAAGTTGCTTCTGTTTACTGCTCGAGTCTTCCAGGAGCAGGAGGGCCCACGGGCAGCTCCCACCTCCAGAACCCAGTGGAAGACTTTCCAGGCCATAAACAAACCCGAATTAAGCCTTGTGTGGGGCATGTCAGACCCTGTGCGTGATGAGGACAGAGTCCTGCCTTCCCAGGGCAGTCTGGAGGGGACGACAGGCGCACACAGGGTGCTCGGTACCCTAAGAATGTAAAGGGCACTAGGGCCGCCTGCAGGGCAGAGCAGTTGACACCGCAGGAAGGGTTACGGTGGACTCCCCGCTTCTCAGGCAGGGAGACAGGCTCAAAGGTCTTGAACCTGCTACCTAAGAGCATCACAGGACGAGAACTGAAGTCCACTGGCTCCACATGTCAGCCCGTCCACTCCACAAGGAGCAGCGGCCAGAAAAGGGTCATCCTCCACCGAGGGCCACGCTGGGTTTCCAAGGTTGGCGACTTCGGGCCGGAACAGAGGCCTGTCAGAGACAAGAGGCTCGGTGAGACCCCGAACATGAGAAGTCGAAGGGGCGAGAATCGCGGAGTGTACCCAGGGCGGCCGTCTGAAGGCTCCGCAGGAAGCCGCCCCCTCACACTGCTCCGCGGCGCCCGCTACGCAGTCCCACCCAGTGCCCCGGCTCTCCAGTCGAGCCCGGGGGCGCGGCCAGGCTGACTTCCGGGCGGCGCGCACGCTGCGTGCGGCGTCATGACGTCAGCGCGAGACGTGTGGGAGCGTGACTTTGGCGCGAGCATACGAAAGCCCGGCGGAGGAGCGGCTGAGACTAGTGAGTCAGGGAGGAGGGTCGCCGCCTCAAGAACCTGCGGGGTCAGAAGAGCCGTGTCTGTGGAGGCGGTTAGTGCTGCGGGGGGAAGCGAGCCGGGCCACCGATGGTGCTGCCAGCCCCGCGCGGATGGGGACGATGGACCGGCCCTCCCGGCCGGAGGCTCCGTTCCCCTCCTGGGTCTCTTGGGCCGGTCGTGGTGGGCTCCTAGCTGCAGCAGGTGCCNCGCCACCCGGTCGGGGTGGGCTCCTAGCTGCAGCAGGTGCCTCAGTCTGAAACCTGCTTGCACACGATAAAGTTACTTTTCTGGAATGTTGTGTCGTGGACAAGGTTTCCCGCTTCCGACACTGAGTCCGCCCCACTTCACCCCAGCTGGTGCCTGTGGGATGGAGACGTCCTGATTGGAATTGGCGTTTACCTCAAATGGGAGCCTTCGCAACACGTGACTAGTCCACGTAACTAANGCCTGTGGGATGGAGACGTCCTGATTGGAATTGGCGTTTACCTCAAATGGGAGCCTTCGCAACACGTGACTAGTCTACGTAACTAACATTAATGTCAGAATGCTATTCTTGAGTCGCACTTGCCACATTCCCAATGCTTGACGTGGTTGGTGGCCACTGTGTTGGGCAGCACGAATGCATAGTGCTCCCACCGGCGCAGCGAGTTCCACTGCAGTTCCAGAAGATGGGACCGAGATCAATCATCAGTGTCACTTTAGGCAACTGTACCCTCGTCTGATTCTACCCGTCACTTAAGGACCACACCCGGTGAAGTGTGTTTTGTTCTCTTTTGCAGACTCAGTTTCCAAGCGTCGGAGTAATTTTGTAGAGAAAAATGCCTACCGGATGCAAAGAGAGGCCAACTTTTTTTGAAATTTTTGGGATGAGATGCAGCCAAGCAGGTACTGACAGATTTTATAAATTGACTAATTACAGTGATCAAATGTTTTCAGAAAAATACGTAAATGTGCTTGCTGGAAAGAGTCCAATACTTCACGTTTTTGTTTACACTATAAACTGTTCTTTATAGAGTCATAAATCCAGTTAAGAGGATGAACATTTACAGTTACCAAATGGTATGAAACTGTATAGAAACCCTGGTGAATAAAGAAGAAACTGGCCCTTGATTGGCAGTAGGAAGAATTGTTTTTAACTTCCAGCAAATGAGAATCATTGGCAATTTTACTTTGTAGCAGAAGTTATCAAATATTTTACTCTCAGTACTCCTTGCACTCTTAAAAATGATTGAGGGCCTCAAAGAGCTTTTCTTTATGTAAGTTGCCATATTAGAAATTAAAAATAAGAACTTCTAAAAATACTTAGTAATTCACTTAAAAATAACAAAAATAAACTCAATGCATATTAACATGAATGACATTTTTATGAAAAATACCTATATTAAAAAGTGACATTGTTTTATATTTTTGCCATTCTCTTTAATATCTGGCTTAAATAGAAGGTGGTTGGGTTTTCATACCTGTTTCTGTATCCAGTCTGTTGCAATAGTTCCTTGGTAGAAGTCTGTGAAGAAAACCCAGCCTCACACAGCAATGTAGTTGGAGAAAAAAGGAGTATTTTAATAGTCTTCATTTAATTGTGGGTGTTTTTCTTTCATACTACACCAAAGCTTAAGTGGTAGTTTCATAAAAGTTGCAATGTAGAATCTGAAACCATGTAATGAAATGTTCATATTCTTGTTACATTACATTCTATTAGTCTTTCTTGAACTTTGAATGAATCTTTTATCCATGTTGTAACGTCATGCATTGATTTATTTGGAACGTGTTTGTGTTCTGAATTACACAGATATTCCATATATTAACACATTGTATTAAACAATATTAAAAGTAATTGTATTTATTAGTTCACTGACGTCATCAGAAAAGTCTTAAGATTGGAAGGATGTCAAGCTGACAGAGCCTGGTAAAGTGTAACAGAATTCTAATTCTCATTTGAAAGCTCACATTGTTTCACTGACTGTTGTTTTCCCTCCCTGACAGGCTTACTTTATTCATTTTGGAAAAAGGGTTTCCCAAATCATCCAACTCAGAATAGCATAGTCTGTCATTCATTCTTTTTAGTAAAAATGGATTTCTATGGAAAAAATTACTAATTCAGCTCACAACTCATTACGAGTGACTTTTATAGACAGCTATTGTAGTTAAATATACAGAAATGCTTTATGCATACTTTCCATTTTGTCACAAAATATTAAAAACATGTTTTTTAATGTTAATAGTGGACTTTAATAAAACTAATTTTTACCGCTTTTTAAGGACATTTAAATTATGCTGACGTTTTTGGTTTTTGTTTGTTTGGTTGGTTTTTTACAAGTGCATGGTGATGAAGAATACAGTGACTACTAGTATAGTTTGTTGCCACTACCTTGACTCACACAAAGGTGTCATCAGTTTCACTGACCAGTGGTGCAATGTCAGCATTGTGAAAAAGACAAACTATGCCTTAATATTATTATGAAAATAGTTTTGACTTTATGAACCTCTTGGAAAGGTCTTGGGTACGGTTCCCTAATTGCTCCACAGACCACACTTTTAGAACTGCTACTTTAAGAGTAGATAGATCAGAGTAGAACTTTTGTCATTTCTCTTTAACAGAGAAACTTTTTATTCTCTTTTATTTGTGAGTCTACATGTTCCTTATACCTATAGATTTATCCCATCCACTTACGTAGTCTCTATAAGCATCTGAATTGAATCTGTGGAATGCATTCTTACTATGTTTTTTTTTTTCCTGAAACATGAATATAAGCTAAAGAAAACTTTAGAAGATCTAATATAGTTAAGAGCTGTCTCCTTGTAACTTTTGTAAACTTGTCATACCTTACTACAGATTCATAAGAGAACAGACGAATAATCCTGTGTAATTACTATGCTTTAACAAAAGTCATCCGCAGTCTAAATCTCAAGCATCCTTTTCTTTATTACGATCTTTACTGGCTCACGAATTTTTCTGTCTCTGATTAAAACCAAGATAAGATTTTTCTTTTTCTTACAGATTTAGGACCAATAAGCATTAATTGGTTTGAAGAACTTTCTTCAGAAGCTCCACCATATAATTCTGAAACTGCAGATGAATCTGAATATAAAACCAGCAGTTATGAGCCAAACCTATTTAAAACACCACAAAGGAAACCTTATCATCAGTTGGCTTCAACTCCAATAATATTCAAAGAGCAAGGTCTAACTCTACCACTGTATCAATCTCCTTTTAAAGAATTAGATAAGGACAGCTTAGATTTAGGTAAGTAATAAGCTGTAGACTAGAGGAAAATACGAAGTAGGAATTCAAATAAACCTGTATTAAGAATCTCTGCTCTGTCATTAACTGGGTTATGTTGGTCAGATCAACCTCTCTGTCTTCACTTTCCCCACCTAAAAAAAAATAGAGATGATGAAAATAATATCTGATAGGTTTGGATTAAATAAAATAATGTAGGTACTTAATAAATTCCTTTTCCTCCCTTCTTTGATTAATACATCCTGCCTACCGAGATTTGCTAAGATTTATCTTTCCTATACAAAAAAACCCCACCTAGTACTTGAAATTAATTACACTAAACTATATTCTTGCAGGCTGTCAGAGGACAGATGAGATTATTTTTTATCAATTTGCCATAAATCTCTTGATTTGATAGCCATTTCCCTGACCTATGTGCCAGATATTTCCAGTCAATCAAATATTGGTCCTTTAAATATTTATTACTTGCTTGATTTAAGTAACATCCTCTCCCTTTCTTTGGAGTATTATTTGCTAGTAACAGGAATTAAGTACACAGATAAATTACAGTCTAAGGTTGAATATGGGACATGGCAAAAGAAAAGTACAAAAAATGCAATGAGAGTTCAAAAGAAAGCATAAATAGTATTGTGGGAATTAGGAAATGATTCATTTAAATTAAACCTTAAAGGGTAGCTAAGATTCAGGAACTTGAAAATGGAACAGTGATAATGTTCTAGACAGAGGGAAAAACATGAGGAAGAATACGCAGTTTGTTAAGAGAATAGCAAGTAATTCAGATCATTTGGAGTGTTGAATCTGATGCCAATAACAACCTAAGGCTAAAAAGCGCAGATTAGAGGCAGGCATCAAATGCCAGGCTAAAAAAGTGAATTCATTTGATAGGTTGTGAAGCAGAGAAATCACATGCAAATTTGATCATGCTACTTCCTGCTTCAAACCTTGGATTACCTCCCCTTAGCCTTTAAGATAAAATCCATACTCTTTAATGTGATTACAAGGTCTTTTATAAAATGATCTTTGACCTCCCGGAAGTCAGTGTTGTATGGGAGAATATATCTAAATTACTGATGTGGGACATGTTATAACAGGAGTTTGTACACAGTACTGTGTTATGGGAAGGGAGCTGCCATAGGTTTTAATGTGGTGAGGAAAAGCTCTAAACTAGTTGATGCTGAATCTACTAAAACTTGAAAGATACACCCAGAGCCAGTGGTTTATTCTCTAAATGTAATCTGCTGGAATTGGTCTATCCCTAACCAGGGAAGGATAGGGGTGAATTAATACAGACACTAGACTCACTGCAGAGGAGCTAACATTTCTAAAGTTTAAGTGCATAAAGAATTCAGTTGACTAGTCTCAAGACATTTTGCTTTTAAGCTTAACTTTAAATTCAGTATTGAAATATAAGACTTAAGCTGTTTTTAACCTACTTTGTTCTAGCATCTATGTATTATTTTTAAATAAGAATTATCCCTGAAGTTCCATGAGGAACTCTTCCTTTTGCATAAAATATGAGTTTATCTTACCAGTACTTAGCTTATTTATGAGATTATCAAGTTATTGGGGAAGTGCTTAGTTTGGTGTGCACTTGTTTTTGCCTGGATCATTTTTTTACTTTTATGCTTTACAGTTGTGTTTGTTTTTATTGCTGAGCCAATATTGATACTTTATTATTAACTAAAATCCTTTGTTTATATTAGGGTTTCCTTGTACAAGTCTCTGATTTTGGCAAGTGTATAATGTCACGTATATATATGTATTACAGTATCATACAGAATAGTTTCATTGCCCAAAAAACCCCATGTTCCAGTTCACCACCACCACCTTCCTTCAAGCGCCCTGAATCCTTGGCAATCACTGATCTTTTTACTGTCTATGGTTTTGCCTTTTCCAGAATGTCACATACATAGTTGGAATCATACAGTATGTAGCCTTTCCAGATTGGCTTCTTTCACTTAGCAATATCATATTTATCTGTGTCTTCAGGGCCTGATAGCTCATTTCTTTTTATCACTGAATAGTGCTCTATTGTATGCATGTACCAGTTGGCTTATTCATTTACCAATTGAGGGATATCTTAGTCGCTTCCAAGTTGTGGCAATTGTGAATATAGCTGCTGTAAACATTCATATGCTGGTTTTTTGCATGGACCTAGGTTTTAAACTCATTTGGGTATTTACCAAGGAGCACAATTATTGGCTGGATCCTATGTTAGAATTATATATAGTTTTGTAAGTAACTGCAAACTCCTCCAAAGTGGCTGTACCATTTTGCATTTTTGTCAGCAATGAGTGAGAGTACCCCTTGCTCCACATCCTCACCAGCATCTGGTGGTGTCTGTGTTTTCTATTTTCATTCTAATAGGTATGTAGTGGTATCTCATTGTTTGGTTTGTTTTTTAAGTCTGTTTTTTTTGGTGTGTGTTTTTTTCTGATTAGGGTCTTTTTAAAGTGAACAGGGAAAAGGTGAAATTTCAAAATAAAGGTTTAGCTACTTTTTTAATATCTTTAAAACATTCATAAGAGAAGGAGGTTGGATATTTTGTTGAAGTGGGGGTTTTAATTTATGCATTTGGCTTATTAGTGATTATGTGTATTCCCTATTACTTGAGAAATAAGAATATAATGCAGTGTTTTATGTATATTACTACAAATAGTTTTCAGTTTGGTCTTTGCTTGATTTATTAACATTCATATAGCTTATTTTCCCCAAAACTTCTCTAAGTTAGAGATTGTAGAATCAGTTAAAGCAGCTGTTTTTAAAAGCAATTTTTAAGAGTAATAATAAGTGCCTCATGTGCCCAATTTCTGATACAAAAAAGGAATGCTGAAAAACTGTAGATTGAATTTGATAGTCACACACAGCTTTGGAAACCCCATCTGAGCATTATTGCCTGAGAAAGTAGATGTGTTCAACAGGAATGGAAGTATTAATGTGTTGTTATCTACAACCCATTTTCTAATCATTGCTAATTCATTCAGCCAGTATTGGTATATCATATCAGGCAATTATTGTGATTGCTAAGGATACAGTGATGATTAAGACAGGATCTCTACCTCAGGGAACTCAGTGTAACAGGGGAAATGGGAACAATGTATGATAAACTCTGCAGGGAACACAGGAGGGCACTCACTTAGTCTCACCTTAGGGACTACTAAAATTTTCTAGAGGAGATAGTTTCAAAGTGGGAGTCTGAAAGAGGATATTCTAGATAAAAAAAAATAAAGAAAAAGAAACACTTTGTACAAAGGCCTAGACTGAGAGAGACCATTCTTGCAGGATATGCAAGTGGTTGGGTACAGCTTAAAAGAGTATGAAAAAATGTCATCATAGAAATTAAGACATCAGATCCTGAAGGCCTTGTTACCAGGGAGTTTTGTTATGGAGTTCAAACTTGATCTTGAGAACAAGATCTTGAAAGGCTTTTAGCAGAAAAGTAATATGGTCAGATTTAGTACCTTGTTGGGTTTTCAGTAACTGTCTTTTCCTTTACCCTTATCCTCCATGATACCTTGGTACTGTGTGTGACTTAATAAGACATCATATTCCACTTTGTCTTCCATTTGGTGTACATTTCAAAAAATTTTCCACTACTGTATTCTGAACTCCTTGAGGTTAAAGCTGCATCTTGATTGCATTATCCAGAGTGCCTAATGTGTATTATATGCTTATATTATGGTTGTTGAAATGGCGGCAGACATCCCTTTAGGAATTGGCAAACTGAGAAGCCAATTTAGACAAACTCCCCATACGTTCTCCTTCTCAGTATAGATGAAACTTGTTTTTAAATACTTGCAGAGAATGAAAATTCATAATATAGAGCATATATATCCTCACTGAATTATTGTACTCTTTCAGGAAAACATATTAAGCATAAAAGTTGTTGCACAATGAAGGCTAAAATGGATCAAGCAAATGATGTTATCAGCCCACCTCTAAATTCTTGTCTTAGTGAAAGGTATGATGAAGCTACTATATTAAAATACTTAAATGAAATATTTTACTACATAAGATACTTGTTTTGTAGAAATGCATCTAATTTTCATACTAATATTTTGGCTGAGAGCCTGGTAGAGGTTCTTCTATTTTTAAATAGTCTCCTTTTAGGTTGAGTTCTTTACTACAATAATTTCTACATTAGAAACATTTCCTTTGTTTTTCTTACAATGTTGAATGCAGTGGTTTTTCTGTATAGTCTACGAAGTTTTTGAGTAACAAAAATACTAATGATTAAAAAAAAAAGCCTTTGAAATGTCAGTTTAAATTATTTGCATACTTTGAATCACTGGAGAGAATATGATGTTATTATAGATTCACTTTACATAATTTTTAAATTCAAAATATATAATTCCTCCCAGCTGAAATTTATGAATACTTTATACATTATTTTCAATGGGCATTTGAAACATAATTTAGTGGTTATTTAATTCTTCATGAAATATTTACTTTTTAAAAAGTAACATAAAAATATTACAAAGTAGTATAATTCAATTAATTGATATGAATGAGAGTCCTTTTTTCAATAAGATTAGTAAATTTGCCATTTCTGTTATCTCTTGAATAACCTGAGGGATTTGCTTTGTTTTGTTTTAGCCCTGGTGTTCTACGATGTACACATATGACACCACAAAGAGAAAAATCAGGTATGATTTAAAACAAGGCTTTTTATTTTTTTAATATTCTAAATTTTAATAAAAATAAAACTTAGTAATTTTTTTCTTGTTTTACCCCCAGTGGTATGTGGAAGCTTATTTCATACACCGAAGCTTATGAAGGTAAATATTCTGCCTAGTTTATTTTTGTTATGTAGTAATTGAGAATTTGACAGTAGTATTATACCTTTGCCCTGAGATTTACAGATATGTATCTACAATCTCACATAGGCATTCCCTAAATGATAAATGAAAAAAATAAAGTGAATGAAAAAATATTCTTAAAAAATATTCATCAGTGTCTACCAAACTATTTTCTTTATTTCCAGGGTCAAACACAGAAACATATTTCTGAAAGTCTAGGAGCTGAGGTGGACCCTGATATGTCTTGGTCAAGTTCTTTAGCCACACCACCAACCCTTAGCGCTACTGGGCTCATAGGTAATAACTGTCAAATATTTTTATAAGAAGGTACATGGTGTTGATAAATCATCTCTAATGCTTTCTGTTAAAAAGAAAATAGGAAAATATAATTAAATAGTAATTAGATTAGATAATCCTGTCTTTGATAAATGTATTGATTCATAATAGTTTTATACTATTTAGTTTAGACTGGTATAAATCAGAAGTACATTAAGTAGTATTCTATAGGAGTCAGGTTAATTTTTATGCAAACGCAGAATTTTTTATTCTAACAGAAAAGCATTTCATTTTGATTCATCTTTAGCTGGAAATTTAACTTTGTTCTGTTGTTCAGATGCAATAATACAGGTAAAAGCATGTTGAAAATTAAAAAGTATTTAACATGTAATATGCCTTTAGACAGTATTATTATCTATATAAATGCTAAAGTCTATATGCATTAGCTTCAAGTCATGATCCCAAAGCTTCACCTGATTCTCCAAGTCTTTGCGGACAGTATTACCTTAAAGTCAGGATCACCAAACAGTAATTTTTTACCACCTTGTGAATGGTACTAAGGAAGTGAGTATAGCTTATTCACTGTGTTGATTGACCTTTCTAAATACTATACTGGGATCAATTCATTCTGTTTCAAATATTTCATTTAATCCAATAATGTTTGTGTCTCTTGGTGTCCAACCAAAAAATATGTAAGCTTTTGCATTAACTTTAGTGTATGATGTACAATTGAATTTTTTCTTTTACAGTCAGAGATGAAGAAGCACCTGTATTTCCTGCAGCTGTATTTCCTAATAATACTACTGCTGTACGTAAATATAACAAATTGATTATGCTGTTGTAATTGCTTATTATTTTAGGATGCCTTGAAAAATTATTTATCTTGCATTTTTCATTCCTTAATTTATGATTTAACTATATCTTTGAGAAAGTCTCTAAACCTGTTTCTATATATAATTTTTTTTGACTATGAGAAACTCTGTCTCTCTGTTTAAAAACAAGTTGAATATTTATGGATAGTGAGAGTTTCTATATTAGTAATTTTAAAATATAACTTTTGTAGATTTTGAAAAGCTACTTTTCTAACCATGATGAAAGTCTGAAGAAAAATGATAGGTCTATCCCTTCTGGGCCAGACAATGAAATAAAAAATCAAAGAGAAGCTAAAAGTCATGGTAAGTTTTTATGTTATTTGCCATTTGGTAAGTTTATGTTAACTGACATCATTGAAGTATTGCTCCTCTTAAAGAGAAAACACATTGCTTTTCCTTTCTTGATGACTGAAGGTATTGAGGGTAGAAACTAACTTGATTTAGATGAAAATATTAAAACATCATGCTAAAACAAGACTGTTCAAGATACCACTGTGACACAAAAACAAAACAAAACCCATTACTCAAAACTCAGAAAGATGAAGATTAATAATTGTAATTAATAAAATGTGAAGGCCTTATTTTCTAATTAGAGAGAAAATATAGTTGCAGATATACCAAAAATTACCTAGTCGTGTCATTGCAGTATTGCATTTTTCTTATGTGTATGTCTGTATAAATGTATGGACTTGGATATCTGTGAGTGTATGTTGTGTGTATATGTACATATAAAATCAGATTTTACTCTCAGTTTTTGTAGGACCACAAAATTAATTTGGATCATCTGGTTTGATAAATCTTAGAATACTAAACTGTGTATATATAGTAAGGTTGGGTAAATTTTGATTGTGTAAAGCTGGTAAAGAAAGGTTATTGGTGATTGGAGTAAGAATGAAAGCTTTGAGTACATTGGAATTAGTCTTTATCAGAACAGGAGAAGGGTGAGTTCCCCAACCTTACTATATATA